TCATCTACATTTCGCAAAATGGGACGCATATAAATACATATATATGTATATAGATTACTTCTTCCATGCTCCAGAAGTTGGTCAGAGGACGCTTATTGTATAATACGTCGAATATGATACATATTTTTTTTGAAATTAGGTGTGAGAATTGAATGAAGAGTTACTTACCTTCCTATTTCGAAATCTATTCGACTGTTTCTAAATCGAAACATTTCTGATCGGAGGAATTTTTGGCATGTGTGTGAGACTGGGGCTCGGTTGTTCCGTAAACAAGGTAAAACAAAATTATTGAAAACCAAGTCTTATGCATGTGTCGGAAAAAGCGGTAAGAGACTGTTCATTATATTCCCTAAGCAGATTGTACCAACGTGTCAGATTAACAACCAGCATGTCAGGGTACTCCCACGTGTTAATATATTTACATCTACAAATGTTGTATCGATATCGCTGAGCTATGTTGCACCCTAGGCTTATTTCAGTGTCTAACTGTTAGGGGATTTTTCGAAAGCTGCTTTTGTTCATGTGCTTTATTTGATAAGCGGATAATAGATGATCCCGTTAAATATCGGGTAAGTGAGGTTAGTTTCCGCTTCCATTCCAGAACTATCACGCGAGAAGACACAATGAATGGGCTTCACATATTTTACTCATGTTTTTCTTGTAGTAACTACTAGAAAGATTCCCCCAACGCCCATGTTGAAAATTTGTTTAGATGCTTTACTCAAACGTTCCTTGCCTCGTAATTTTGACGCGTTTAGGGTCTAACCATGTTTAGGATTTGTAGGATATATGTGATAAGCTATAATGATGCTGACGTCCTACATGCAGAACACTTAGAGTGAGTGAGTTTAGTTTTACGCCGCACTCAGCAATATCCACTATATGGCGGCGGTCTGTAAATAATCGAGTCTGGACCAGATAATCCAGTGATCAACAGCATGAGCATCGATTTGCGCAACTGGGAACCGATAGCATGTGTCAACCAAGTCAGCGAAACTGACCACTCGACCCCGTTAGTCGCCTCTTACGACAAGCATAGTCGCCTTTATCTTGAAGACCTATTCTACCCCGGATCTCCACGGGTCCAGAACACTCAGAACACTCAGTATAGACTTATCAGTGTCGGACCCGTGAAGATCCGGGTTAGAATTGATCTTCAGTAACCGATGCTTGTCGTAAGAGGCGACTAACGGGACCGGGTGTTCAGGCTCGCTGACTTTGTTGAGATATGTCATTGTATCCCAGTTCCGTAGATCGATGCTCATGCTGTTGATCACTGAATTGTCTGGTTCAGACTCGATTATAAACAGACCGCCACCATATAGCTGGAATATTGCTGAGTGCGGCGTTAAACAAGAAATAAGAAGAAAATGAAGATCAATGAAGATTACGGCCGGGATTCTTCCTAGACCAGCCCAATTAAATATTAAGTCGTTCCACACATTTTGACGAATGGGGTTACAGCACAGAGATGTCATGTCTAAAGGTGTCGGTTTCCATGTACATCAATAAAGAAATTGACATATTCACACTGTGTCAGGTTATTTATTTATCATGAAGATATTTTCATATTTCAAATAATATAAAGTGGGTGAGTGAGCGAGTATGGTTTTGCGCCGCTTTTAGCAATATTCCAGCAATATCCAGCGGGGGACGCTAGAAGTTATCTTTACACATTGTACCCATGTGGGGAATCGAACCCGGGTCTTCGGCGTGCATGTCGTATGAGGCGACTAACAGGGTCGTGGTGGTCAGGCTCGCTGGCTTGGTTGACACATGTCATCGTATCCCAGTTGCGCGGATCGATGCTCATGATTGTGATCACTGGATTGTCTGGTCCAAACTCGATTATTTGCAGACCGCCGCCAGATAGCTGGAATATTGTTGGGTGAGGCGTTAAACAACAAACAAACACAGCATACCGACTCCGATCCAGTCATTGTCTCCTCCCCTTAATTGTCAGGGTGACAACAAGTACCATCTTTTAATGCCATTTGGTGTGATCAAACCATCGACCTTCCGCTCTCCTAACGGAAGGGGCGGTGGGGGTAGCCTAGTGGTTAAAGCGTTCGCTCGTCACGCCGAAGGCCCGGGTTCGATTCAACACATGGGCACAATGTGTGAAGCCCATTTCTGGTGTCCCCCGCCGTGACATTGCTGGAATATTGCTAAAAGCGGCGTATAACTAAACTCACTCACTCCTGACGGAAAGCCTTGATAGATCCGATGTCAAGAGACCAAGGCTAGTGTTTCACACGTTGCATCAGGTTGAGGTATCTCTGAACACAGGTACATGTTATGGCCAACCTGTCCTCTGATTAATACCAACATACGTTAAAAGGTGGTACTTGTTAGTATGCATGGAATACAACATCACCAGAGATTTGTTTAGCTCCATGTTTATCCAGGGTTCTATTATGTGGATGAACAGGAAGTGAATGAGTTGGGTTTTCGACCGCCTTTAGCATTATTCCAGCAATAGCACGGCGTGGGTTCGAATCCGGGCCTCAGGCGTGACGTGTGGACGCATTAACCGCTATGCTACCGCACAAAGGGACCGAAACACTGGAAATTAACTACTAACTACTCGCATTACTTTTAAAAATATACTAATCATTTGCTGGGATGTTTTGTGGAGAATTCATTTTCAGCTACAGTTTTTCAGATGTTGTTCATTAAATCTATGAAATTAAAAAAATAAATCAAAATAGCAAAACAACAAAAGCAACAGCGAAACAACACATTTTGCAACAATGTATTTTTCCTGGCAGGAATCCTTTTTTCAACAATGCGTGGAATGTATGATTTTTTTATGGAATATAAGATTTTCTTACATTATATGTTACATATTTTTTAACACGAAATCATTCATCCGTGGATAAAGTAATACGAGTATTATATAATGTTATACACTGTGATTAAAAGTGACAAATGCGCAATACATATTAGAACAAAGTGTTTCCTGAATGCAGTCGAAAACAACTTGTGCACTATACTGTATATGTATACAAAGTTGCTTTTAGATGTGATGCCCTACAGACAATAGGTTGTATAAGACTTAAATATTGTCGACTGTTATAACTGGCTATAAAGAAGGGTGTAGACGATAACCAAAACCGACAATGCGCAAATGTAGGAAAACAGTAGGCTCGAACCGCTCAACTGCAGAGCCACAGAACTGTACATGAATCGTAACTATTGTTTTAGGTTTGACCTCGAGTTACTTCCCTTCATTATTATTTGGGACGAATGTCGGCCAACAAAGCCCAGGTGAGATGAGGTTTTGTTTCATTGTCTGACACTCAGTTCGTGTGTAAATATCTTAGCTTTTACTGAATGTTAACAAAGCGACATGTCTCTAATCAGTGTATTTAGAGGTCTCCGTTACTATGCTGGAGTTATCACCTGCTCATTCCGTTATGCATAGCAACGACTTTGTCATCTTTGTTTACATTAACAACCGGAAGGTGACCGGCGTCAATATTATTGCACTGGTCCATCGCTGGAAAATATAATGGAGTTAACGGAATTAAATGTTGTCATCATTATGTTCGCCGCATTAACATGTTGCTGCTTATCCCAGGGGGTCGTCTTCTGACCTAAGAAGTTACGAGGATTCATCTATACTTTATATTATAAAATATATAATAGCTTTTGTGGACCAGGGTAGTGTATATGTTCCTTATATACTTATTATTTCGGACAAGTTATTTTTTCAGGATCTTCAAAGGCAATAACTGTTTCTGGACAAAAATAAATACTGCCGTGAGTCAGACATTTTTGCCTTCTGTTTAAAGGCTCTTTATGTACGTTCTGCTCATGTGGCTCACAACATGTTATCTGGAAATGAAATTATGCCATTGAATTAGGAGAAAAACTCACTGTATTTCAATAGAAATATCTATTATCTACATATTAAATGGCCCCAAATTTATTTTGGAACCAAATCCACAGCACACTATGTTTATCTCAATTCTACCATGACAAAATTGAACATGACATGTTGTCTTTTTGCAAAGATAATGAGTCAAGGTGAATGGTTTTAAACTAAAAATCATGTTTGTTTTAAGATGTGACACCCAGTTTAGGGTGATGCATGTATTTGTATCTACTACCTAGATAGGTGCTTATGATGTCAATCACTGGATTGGCTGGTCTAAACTTGGTTATTTTACAGAATGCAGGCACACAGCTGGAATATTGTTGAGTGCAGTATTTAACAACAGACAAACATATTTTGTGTTCAAGAAACATCAATGTTTTCCTTAGACAAAGTGGATGGCTGCATATACTGTAACATTAATTTACTTCACACCTCCTGCATTGAATATGTGGTACACTGCTACTCCACAAGGAAATATGAAAGGGGACATGTCATCGGTTCCCTAAGAGGAAGTTGAAACACTGGTCCAGAGTGATTGTTCTCTAATATTTATGACTTCACACTGCTCATTCCTGCATTGATGATTCAGATCAGAATCACAGGTGAGTAAAGGGGACGCCATACAGAGGTGACAAATATTGTTCTCTACTTTATTATCCAAGCTGTGATGTTCATATCCAAATTCTGTAAGACAAGATTTAAATCTAAAGTAGAACAAATTCTGTAAGAGAGATTTAAATCTAAAGGAACTTTGCTTTACACTTGAAACTGAGCATGTTTATCTCCTAAAGAACACTAAGGGACTGTACTAATCTATGGCTAGGCAGGGTGATGATGATTTTAAGGGGACGCCACCCATTTTGTTCTGGGGAGGGAGGTGGGGGCATAAATTTTGTACATAAAAATATTAAAAAATTATGGGATTATGGGAGGGTGGGGTCATTGATTTTGTACATAACATAAAGGGTGTGTGTGTGGGGGGGTCACTTACTCTATACATAAATTTTAGGGGGGGGCATTCACATTGTACATGCTTCTCCATAAAAATCATCATCACCCCCCTATCCATAAATTATGAAGGGTACCTAATGTAAACCTCCATTTTGTATATCTGCAGCAGCATCAGTGACCTCCAACTATGGCGGCTACAGTGGAGACAGGCACGCAAGAAGAAAGTCACAACATGGATGAACCAGCAATAGAGAGGGACATCCGCAACTTTGTAGCAACGAAAACTGGGGAGAGAGTATATCTGTATTTAGCCGAGGCTTCAAAAGTATCCATTAGACATGTACGCAAATCGGGATCCACGCTGCTTGCCATCTTCTGGATCAAGGTCCTCCAGCACCAGAACAACTACCCAATGCAGCATTTCCCGTACAGGAAGCTGTATGGGAGTGGGAGATCAGGCGAGGACAGGGTGGTCCTCAGCGTTGATGGTGTGAAGGTGGCGGTGTTCATGTCGTCAGGGACACTGCAGATCACAGGGACATATGCCTTGGAGTGGTTTGTGGACCGGTTTAGAGGACTCATGGCTGCTTATGTGTCCCAAATAGATCACCCTCAGCCACTGAGATCCACGTTCACGGATTCCGAGGAGTCCAGATGGAAGCGGGAGAAGCATCACATGAAGGAGCAGTGTAGGTGACATTTTGCAGTTTTTTAATATATGTTTCATTTTTAAATTTTACTCATCCATATGGGACTCCACCAGTTGGTTGTCATGTGCTTCTTCTGCAGTGTTGAAGTACACTTTCCTTTGTACTCTTTCCTATTTACTTAACAAACACTTCAATCTCAGTAACTTCCTCCTCCTCCTCCTCCTCATCATCATCGCCATTGACATCATCACCATCATCACCATTGACATCACCATCATCACCATTGACATCATCACCATCATTGCCATTGACATCACCATCATCGCCATTGACATCATCACCATCATAGCCATTGACTTCATCACCATCATCACCATTGACATCATCATCATCGCCATTCACATCATTACCATCATCGCCATTGACATAATCACCATCATTGCCATTGACATCATCACCATCATCACCATTGACATCATCATAATCATCACCATCATCACCACTGACATCATCACCATCATCGCCATTGACATCATCACCATTGACATCATCATCATCACCATCATCATCACCATTGACATCACCATCATCACCACTGACATCATCACCATTGATATCATCACCATTGACATCATCACCATTGACATCATCATCATCAACATCATCGCCATTGACATCATCATCATCATCGCCATTCAACATCATCACCATCATCGCCATTCACATCACCATCATCGCCATTCACATCATCACCATCATCACCATTGACATCATCATAATCATCACCATCATCACCACTGACATCACCATTGACATCATCACCATCATCGCCATTGACATCATCACCATTGACTCATCATCACCATTGACATCACCATCATCACCACTGACATCATCACCATTGATATCATCACCATTGACATCATCACCATCATCACCACTGACATCATCACCATCATCACCATTGATATCATCACCATTGACATCATCACCATTGTCATCATTGTTGTCGTCATCATCATCATCATGATCATCATCATTCATGACTGGAAATCTGTGATGTTCTTCTATAGATTAATATGTTGTTATGGTTCTATTCAGTATAGAATAGCTGAAGGAATTTTGTTTAAAAGAATTGGAATTGGTTAAGAGAGTAGCACTGGCTTGCAATAGATGAATTCAGGGTGATATGGAGGAGAGGAAATATTTTATGTTACTTTTCATTGAAGTTTCTTTCACTGCAAACCATAGTTTTAATAAAGGATATACATTTTTGTGATGGTAAACTTGAAAGGGATATATGTGGGGTGATAGTTCATCATCTGTATTTGGAATCACTTAACCATTAAATTAGAGGGTATTTTGAGTAAAGTTGATTCTATTTAGCAAAATTATAGTACTTCTTTAGTATATACTGAAAGTTGTATGGAAGCAGTTTATTAAGTATGATTTGTCTCACTTTTGAAAATTGAGGTGCCTCTTTCAGTTATTTAACCTCCACTTTTTGTGGGGATTGAAACTTGATGACACAGCATTTAGCAACTTTCAGTTACTTTCCTCTTTTGAACAAGATTGCTGCATGGCTTTATATGACATGTTGCCAAGCATCACATATTCCTTCGATTCCATCCTTCACGTGTTTGTGTGTCTTGTCAGCTAAAGGGGGGTAACTCTTGTGACTATTGGGATCAGACTGTGTTCACCATGAAGCTTCCAGATAAATGCAAACAAATAACCAACGGCAGTACCACCTCTAGTTCATTGTGTGTATGTCTTGTAATAAGTGGGAAGTATTTACAAGAAGTGGTGAGTAGAAAATATGCAATCTTATCTGTCAAAAATGTAATATAAATTATACTTGTCACTGAAGTAGAGTGGAACTCATTTGTCTAGAACCAGTTTTGGCCAGAAACCTTAGTAACCTTCCAGATGGTCTTGTTTGAGTTATTATGCATACTATATAGGCCTCCTTCAAATCCATTATCAGTGAATCCTGTCATGGGTAGGGGATGTAACTCTGCATGTGAACTGTAGTGCATGCATTAGTGTATTGAAATGAAGAGTTATGAATCTGATATGAGGAGTTGTGTTACAGACAAGGCAAGCTGGCCGGATGAGGCGCTGAGAAAGGAAGTGAATGTGATGTATGATGGGGAAGTTCAGAGACAAGAACTGGACAGGAAGGTCAAACCCCAACTTCCTGACATGCTCAGTGACGAACATCAGTACATTCACTCCGACCCTGAAGTGGTAAGCTGATTATGTGACAGTCTTAAATGTGATTATTTAAGTCAAATAGAGCTGAGAATTCTTTAGGTTACATTATCAATTGAACTCAATTAGGGACCTTATAATTTATGGCTATGGGGGGTGATCATGATTTATTCGGAGATGTACAATGTAAATGCCCCCTCTAAAATTTATGTACAAAGTAAGGTGACCCCTGTCATGTACACAATCAATGACAACCCCCTAGTACATGTTAGTGGTGTGACGATTCATCGATACCCATCGATACATCAATCCATGGGCCGCCAATACAGTGGATCGAGACAAAGTTTTAAATTGTCGTATATCCCGATACAATGCTTCAAATGGGCAATGATACATCGATGTTTCACTTTGAATATTGCCGAATCGCGATATCTGTCCAGAAAAAAGACTCACTTTTGTTTGATGATTAAAATGTTTGCTTACTTATTTTCCCTTCATAAGTAAATGTTTTCTCAGAAATTCTTGCGTCAAGAACTGTGTCAGACATAGCGCTCGCATGTTATTAACATTTAAAAAGTCCATGTATAAACTTAATTATCTTGTTTCCTAATGAACATTGAAATACGCTGGTGGAATTTGAACAAATACTTTAAAATGGTTTTGTTTTGATATTCAGGTGTTTTATAATTGGTGTTAGAATTAAATATTTTAGTATCGTGATGTGTATCGTATCGTCACCAATATATCGGGATTCGTATCGTATCGCAGCTTCAGTGCACGATACTTTGGCAATATATCGTTGTGACAAAACTTTTAGCAACGTGATGTATCGTACCGCAGGTTGTATGCCAATACCAGCACTATTACATGTGTACAAAATCGGTGACCCCCTACTTCGCCAGAACAAAATGGGTGACCCCCCCTTAAAATCATTATCAGACACCCACCCATTTTTGTACAAAGTAAGTGAACAAAACAGGTGACCCCCCCTTAAAATCATCATCACCCCCCTAGCCATCAATTATGAACGGTCCCTTAGTTACTTAAAAAATTAGTAGATGAATCGAAAGTCAGGATTTTTGCCTGGATTACTGGATGGTGAGGCTGGAAGTGATGGAGACAGTTGAAGAGGAAGAGAAGATCGCAGTGGGTTGAGCTGTAGGTGGTTTAGATATTGGAAGCATAGATCACAGTGGGTTGAGCTGTAGGTGGTGGGATATATTGGAAGAGTGGATTATTGGTGGGTTGAGCTGTAGGTGGTGGGAGATATTGGAAGAGTGGGTTACTGGTGGGTTGAGCTGTAGGTGATGGAAGATATTGGAAGAGTGGATTACTGGTGGGTTGAGCTATAGGTGGTGGGAGATATTGGAAGAGTGGATTACTGGTGGGTTAAGCTGTAGGTGGTGGGAGATATTGGAAGAGTGGATTACTGGTGGGTTGAGCTGTAGGTGATGGGAGATATTGGAAGAGTGGATTACTTGTGGGTTGAGCTGTAGGTGATGGGAGATATTGGAAGAGTGGATTACTGGTGGGTTGAGCTGTAGGTGATGGGAGATATTGGAAGAGTGGATTACTGGTGGGTTGAGCTGTAGGTGGTGAGATATATTGGAAGAGTGGATTACTGGTGGGTTGAGCTGTATGTGGTTGGAGATATTGGAAGAGTGGATTACTGGTGGGTTGAGCTGTAGGTGGTGGGAGATATTGGAAGAATGGATTACTGGTGGGTTGAGCTGTAGGTGGTGGGAGATATTGGAAGAATGGATTACTGGTGGGTTGAGATGTAGGTGGTGGGAAATATTGGAAGAGTGGATTACTGGTGGGTTGAGCTGTAGGTGGTGGAAGATATTGGAAGAATGGATTACTGGTGGGTTGAGCTGTAGGTGGTGGGAGATATTGGAAGAGTGGATTACTGGTGGGTTGAGCTGTAGGTGATGGGAGATATTGGAAGAGTGGATTATTGGTGGGTTGAGCTGTAGGTGGTGGGAGATATTGGAAGAGTGGATTACTGGTGGGTTGAGCTGTAGGTGGTGGGAGATATTGGAAGAGTGGATTACTGGTGGGTTGAGCTGTAGGTGATGGGAGATATAGGAAGAATGGATTACTGGTGGGTTGAGCTGTAGGTGGTGGGAGATATTGGAAGAGTGGATTATTGGTGGGTTGAGCTGTAGGTGGTGGAAGATATTGGAAGAATGGATTACTGGTGGGTTGAGATGTAGGTGGTGGGAGATATTGGAAGAGTGGATTATTGGTGGGTTGAGCTGTAGGTGATGGGAGATATTGGAAGAATGGATGACTGGTGGGTTGAGCTGTAGGTGATGGGAGATATTGGAAGAATGGATTACTGGTGGGTTGAGCTGTAGGTGGTGGGAGATATTGGAAGAGTGGATTATTGGTGGGTTGAGATGTAGGTGGTGGGAGATATAGGAAGAGTGGATTACTGGTGAGTTGAAAAGAAGGCAATGGATAAGGAAAAGAGTACGTTGAGTTTTTCAACATGCAGGGAGATGTGCTTTGAGCAGGCTTCAGAATCACAGTCCATATACTTCTTGTGTATGTTTAAGATGCCTGAGCGGGAAGTAGAGATGCAGATGGAGAGACTGAGAGCAGGCTGTGTTTTAGAGGGCCAAGTCCTGTACCGGGTATGGAAGTCACTCCTCAACCTCTGGTTCCAGGACGATAAATGTGTCGTTTACATTGTCACCCCACGTTTGGACTCTGGCAGACTTGCTGATATTTGCCGACTGTATCTGAATCATCGCTTCACGGCAACAATTGGGGCACTCTGTGTACCCCTGCAGTTCAATGGGGGGAAGCTACCAGACATCAAGAGAGACGCAATGCAGAAGTTCCACGCCAAAGATCAGTTACTGATAGAGTACAAGATCTATGACAGTATTGTGTACCCCCAGAAACAGTATCAGGCAAAGTTCATAGCATGTGTCAAAGATGGTACCGCCTCTGTTCTCTTGACAACTGCAGATTTCCATGGCAACCATTTCCTGCAAAGTGGCACTGACACTGCAGTCTTCCAAAACATGGCAGAAGAAGATTTTATGATTCGTTACCTTGGGCCGATTCTGTCCTCTGCAAACTGAGCCTGTCACATCCTATCTTATCTATCTTGATGCAACACCCTTGTCTCTTCTGTCACATCCTACCTTGTCTATCTTGATGCAACACCCTTGTCTCTTCTGTCACATCCTATCTTATCTATCTTGATGCAACACCCTTGTCTCTTCTGTCACACCCTACCTTGTCTATCTTGATGCAACACCCTTGTCTCTTCTGTCACACCCTACCTTGTCTATCTTGATGCAACATTCTTGTCTCTCCTGTCACATCCTACCTTGTCTATCTTAATGCAACACCCTTGTCTCTTCTGTCACATCCTCTTGTCTCTTCTGTCACATCCTACCTTGTCTATCTTAATGCAACACCCTTGTCCCTTCTGTCACATCCTACCTTGTCTATCTTAACGCAACACCCTTGTCTCTTCTGTCACATCCTACCTTGTCTATCTTGATGCAACATCCTTGTGTCTCCTGTCACATCCTACCTTGTCTATCTTAACGCAACACCCTTGTCTCTTCTGTCACATCCTACCTTGTCTATCTTGATGCAACATCCTTGTCTCTTCTGTCACAACCTACCTTGTCTATCTTGATGCAACATCCTTGTGTCTCCTGTCACATCCTACCTTGTCTATCTAATGCAACTACCTTGTCTCTTCTGTTTAATCCTACCTTGTCTCTTGAGTTGGGACTGGGAGTATATTTTATAACTAACAGTCATGAATATTTATCTGCACCCGATAATTCAGTATTATGGTTTACCTTCTAAGTCGCATTCTGTATAATTCTGTATTCAAATACAGTATTGTGTACTGTGGAATCTCATTCGCCATCAGAATGACTGACCAGGAAATAATTTATTGTTGTGTTTTTATGAAGTCAGTACTTTGTACATAATTTGTTGTTGTTAACATTGAGTGCTTTGAGTGTGTCTATATGTAGTAAATGTATTTTATCAATATGTTTCATTATACTTAGAAGACGACTGGTGAGAATGTGTTAGACGTTACTTGAATGATTCACTTTACAGGATATACACATTTTAATGGCTTTATTCTGGTTAGTGTAGACAAAGATCGCCATCCAGACCCAATGATGCTTTACCTGGACAGGACTCATCAGTATTACACAAATTTACATTTTAATCTGTCTTTATTGCTTGAAAAATGTTGTGAATCAAATAAACATTTTCGAAAGCCAAGGATCTTCTTCACATATCTGCAGGATGCACCTGCTCATCAAGTGTCTGACACAACAGCCTGATCTTTACAAACAACAGGAACCAAGATACCAGTGTGAGTGATTCCAGCAATATCACAGTGGAACACATTGTACACATGTGGGGAATCGAACCCGGTCTTCAGCATGATGAGCAAAAGCTTTAACCACTAGGCTATCTCACAGCCCCCTCCATTCCAGATCCTTGTACACAACATGAACCAGCACACCTGACCTTGTAAACAACATGAACCACCACACCAGACCTTGTAAACCTCATGAACCAGCACACCAGACCTTGTACACAACATGAACCAGCACACCAGACCTTGTAAACAACATGAACCAGCACACCAGACCTTGTAAACAACATGAACCAGCACACCAGACCTTGTAAACCTCATGAACCACCACACCAGACCTTGTAAACAACATGAACCAGCACACCAGACCTTGTAAACCTCATGAACCAACACACCAGACCTTGTAAACCTCATGAACCACCATACCAGACCTTGTAAACCTCATTAATAACCATAGCAGACCTTGTAAACAACATGAACCACCACACCAGACCATGTAAACAACATTAACCACCACACCAGACCTCGTAAACCTCATGAACCACCACAACTAGATCCGTCTCATCAGTATAACCACAGACAGTAAGTCTTGCAATCAGAATAAAATGTATAAACAACTCCAGCAGGTATACGTTATCCACATTCTTTAATGTAGATCAGGGCGAAAGATATGCAATCATTCGTGACCAACTCGTGTTATTCCGGGACAAGCCGAATAGCGGGTTACGGAAAGGGGCGAGTGGTGACGAATGGTATGCAATATCTTCTCATCCTAATACAGTAAACACGAACCGGATTTCAACAAACGCACAGTTTAATACTGTGACCCGGTCGGACGGGCGAAATATTCATGTATTATTGATAAGCAATGTATACTATATATAAAGGTAGGGTATATTCAATAAAACGCTGTTAAAACTACTGATATGTTATATCTTTAACGAGATATATAATTTAAGTGGTTAACAGGGACATCTGGGGGCTGAGATTTGCATTAGCCATTGAACAGATAATGTATGCACTTGCGTTGTCATCTTGAAACACAAAATTAACGGACCTGTGAAGATCCGGGTTTGAATTGATCTTCAGTAACCCATGCTTGTCGTAAGAGGTGACTAACAGAACCGGGTGGTCAGGCTCGCTGACTTGGTTGACACATGTCATCGTATCCCAAATGCGTAGATCGATGCTAATGATCACTGGATTGTCTGGTCAAGACTTGATCATTTGCAGACCGCCGCCATATAGCTGGAATATTGCTGAGCGCGGCGTTAAACAACAACTAACCAACCAGTCAATCTAACGTTAACGCCATAAAAGCGCTCATTCCGTCTACGTCAAACTCTGCGCATGTCAAGGAAGTCTAAAGTGAACCTTGAACCATGCGACCTTCATTCAAACGCTGCCGCTTTCGACACCAACGACACCGTGGAGTAACGTGATGGTCCTTGAATAACACGTGGACGTACCTAGGGTCCATCTGTGTAGCCAACTATGAATCACCGCCCACTCACTCGTAACACCTGTAGCTCTGGAAAGCTCATCTCAAATTGAGAGGCACTTTGAGCACAGTTTCGTAGAACAGTCGTCCTGATGAAACGGCCATGTACATGTGCGCCAGGTGTTGACCGTGGCTGACCTCACCGACGTCAGTCATCAATGTTGTTTGTCTGTCGATATTGTGATTGTAATCTGCTAACTACTGATTGATAAACGTCAAGAGCTCGTGCCACAAAAACTTCAAAAATGCCAATTAAACGTAGCTGTTCAGGTATTTAATGAATCAGACAAGCTCTTTCTTGGTTGCCTCCCCTGTCATATGTCCTGAAAATTGCTAAAACGGCGTTAAATATTTGAAACCCGCAGCAATTTTGATGGAATATTGCTAAAAGCGACATAACAAAACTCACACTCACTCACTCAGAACGCAGTATCACGCTCTTTCTCATATCGCCGACGTTGCACATACTCCCACGTATTCACGACATATCACAGGTAACGCTGACCTTATTGCAATATTGCTGGAATATTGCTGAAAGCAGCATAAAACCATACTCACTCACAACTTAGTATTACACTCATTCTAAAATGAATTTACATGAATTTAAATGAATTTAGACAAAGAGTAAATGATATACAAATCCAAATGTGGAGAAATCAGCTTTCATCTCTTAGCGACACTAGATTGTATATATCAAGGAAACATTTGAATTTGAACACTATCTCTGTAGGATAGAAATAGCTAAATATAGAATAGCCTTAACGCGATTTCGATTAAGTTCTCAAATGTTATTAGTAGAAAAAGGACGGTGGAGTAAGTTAGATATATCAAATAGAGTATGTCCTTTTGTACCAGTTATCTGGAAGATGAGTATCATGTTGTAATGGTTTGTCCAAGGTATGTAAAATAAAGGCAGCTGTATTTAGATAAGAGTTTGTACCAAAATCCGAGTATGTATAAGTTTGTACAATTTGTGAAAAGAAAGTCTGAAAATAATATTCTTAATTTTCTACGTTTGTCTATCATATCCTTAAAGAAAGAGGTAATTATGAAATGTATGCTAAGAAAAACTAGAAAACAGTGAGAAACACCTATAAGACTATGCCTATAATATTACTGCATTCGCTGCCATTATGTTGACTTGTATTCTGTACCAACATCCGATTACAAACACATTTGTAGGGCTATAGTTCGTAAACGCAAGTGTAAAACAGTTAGTATTTGCATAATGACCAAGTTGCTAACCACATATCCTGATTTGTTGTTAACATACTGTCACCAGACAATATTGTTCATTTAGCTTCACCAGACAATATTGTTCATTTAGCTTCACCAGACAATATTGTTTATTTAGCTTCACCAGACAATATTGTTCATTTAGCTTCACCAGACAATATTGTTTATTTAGCTTCACCAGACAATATTGTTCATTTAGCTTCACCAGACAATATTGTTTATTTAGCTTCACCAGACAATATTGTTCATTTAGCTTCACCAGACAATATTGTTTATTTAGCTTCACCAGACAATATTGTTCATTTTATTGTTTATTTAGCTTCACCAGACAATATTGTTCATTTAGCTTCACCAGACAATATTGTTCATTTAGCTTCACCAGACAATATTGTTTATTTAGCTTCACCAGACAATATTGTTCATTTAGCTTCACCAGACAATATTGTTCATTTAGCTTCACCAGACAATATTGTTCATTTAGCTTCACCAGACAATATTATTCATTTATTGTTTATTTAGCTTCACCAGACAATATTGTTCATTTAGCTTCACCAGACAATATTATTCATTTAGCTTCACCTGACAATATTGTTCATTTAGCTTCACCAGACAATATTGTTCATTTAGCTTCACCAGACAATATTGTTCATTTAGCTTCACAGACAATATTATTCATTTAGCTTCACCAGACAATATTGTTCATTTAGCTTCACCAGACAATATTGTTCATTTAGCTTCACCAGACAATATTGTTTATTTAGCTTCACCAGACAATATTGTTCATTTAGCTTCACCAGACAATCACCAGACAATATTGTTCATTTAGCTTTCACCAGACAATATTGTTTATTTAGCTTCACCAGACAATATTGTTCATTTAGCTTCACACCAGACAATATTGTTTATTTAGCTTCACCAGACAATATTGTTCATTTAGCTTCACCAGACAATATTGTTCATTTAGCTTCACCAGACAATATTGTTTATTTAGCTTCACCAGACAATATTGTTCATTTTAGCTTCACCAGACAATATTGTTCATTTAGCTTCACCAGACAATATTGTTCATTTAGCTTCACCAGACAATATTGTTCATTTAGCTTCACCAGACAATATTGTTCATTTAGCTTCACCAGACAATATTGTTCATTTAGCTTCACCAGACAATATTGTTCATTTAGCTTCACCAGACAATATTGTTCATTTAGCTTCACCAGACAATATTGTTCATTTAGCTTCACAAGACAATATTGTTCATTTAGCTTCACCAGACAAT